TCAAACGGACTGTGGGACGCTGCAAAGAAATAAATTCTAACCAGTCATTTCGTTGCTGCTTCTTTTATACTACCTCAAACTCAAATCAATCTGAGTACAGCTTATTCCATTTTTTTTTGCTCTTGATGACATTTTTTAAATTTAATGTGAGCTTGGGTCTATGGGTTGAATTGTTATTTCGCATTCAAAAACATATATGTTGTGACAAAGTAATTTAAACATGCATATCGATGGTATGTTGTAACACACTACTCACGTGAACAGTATCCTCTGGTCATAGTAATATCATCAATACAGATATCACCAGATGGACCATTGCCTCTTGTTGCATTAAAGATTAACTAAAAATACAAAAATCATATAATTTCCAACAATAAAATGTAACAACATAATATGCCGGGGTATTTATTGTTGTAGACAAATTGGTCTACTCTGTTTCGATAAACACGAGTCCCGAGTTAATGGAAAACCCCAAATTTGTACAGGAGTCTGAGTGATTTCGTTGCTAAAGTATGACCGGAAATGACGTAGACTTATTCGATAACACAAAATTCTTAACTAAGAATAATTTTTACATATCAACTTACATAATAATCCTGTGTTTGATAAAATCCAACTCTCCCAGGCATCCACTGGTTACCTTGGTTACCACTCATAGTCCACAAATCAATGACGTCACCATTCGATAATAATTGTTGTACTGTAAGTGTACCAATTCCACCTCCATACATATGATACCAGAAGTTGATACACATGTCAGTATCGCTCATTCCAAATGGTTCACTGTAAACAGTGGCAATAGAACCTTGTGGAATACTGGACGCCTCCATGTAGAAGTAAGTTCCTACAAAAGAGGGGTACTTTAGTTCACTAGATATCGAAGTACAAATCTTCATATTCGTGTTTTTTAATGCGATGCATACCCATTTGTTGTAGAATACAAAAGAACAATAATAATAATATTACAGTAATAGGTACAAATTTCAGATAATATAGAATAATGTGTCATTATTGATTTACATTCTACCTAACCACATGTTGTAGTGTACACACACAATATTGTGCAATTCATTAAGCACAAATCGTTCTAGTTTGTCCATCACATACTTTCAAACCTGTACTACTGAAATGTCACGGCGATGCACATATCATCTACTTGCCTGTTACTAATTAGCAATGACCATGCCGCACTCAGACATGTACAATTCAAATAAATGTACATGCAAATTTTTGGCTTAGAAATTTTACCTGTTACACGTTGTATAAAAACATTGTAAAATGTCGAGTATTGTATTTACAATTACAAAAGTTTACCTTCCGGGGTGCCTAGAGTGTGATCACTAATGGGACCTGTGTTCCAGGTACCAGTAACTCCATTGTTTTCAACCCAATCCATATCATCAGTATACACGTTCTTCCAGGAACAGAAATCGTGCTCAAAATCACACGAACCAGGTAGACCGTCTTAGAAAAATAGAAATTTAATATGAATGGAAATATTTTCCTTTCGGTGTTCAGTTACACAGGTTTCACGACA